CGTCTCCTCCTTAACACCATCGTAACAAACATCACCTACTCCGACACCAGCGTCGAGATCCTCACCTCCGACGGCTCCTGCATCGAAGCCGACTACGCCATCTCCACCGTCTCCCTCGGCGTCCTCCAAAACGACGCCATAACCTTCTCGCCCACCCTCCCCGACTGGAAGCAATCCGCCATCGCCACCTTCTCCTTCGGCACCTACACAAAACTCTTCTTCCAATTCAACGAAACCTTCTGGCCAACCGACAAGCAATTCTTCCTCTACGCTGACCCCACGACGCGTGGGTACTACACCGTCTGGCAGAGTCTATCCACAGAAGGGTATTTGCCCGGTTCCAACATCCTCTTCGCCACGCTTGTAGACGAACAGTCGTACCGTGTGGAAGCGCAGGACGATGAGACGACGAAAACGGAGGGTATGGCCGTTCTCCGTAGAATGTTTCCCAACATCACGGTCCCTGAACCCATCGCGTTTACCTACCCGCACTGGTCTCAAACACCCTGGTCCTACGGTTCCTACTCCAACTGGCCTGCTGGAACGACACTTGAAATGCACCAGAACCTTCGCGCGAATGTGGGCAGGCTGTACTTTGCGGGCGAGGCGATGAGTGCGGAGTACTTTGGTTTCTTGCACGGTGCGTGGTTTGAGGGGCAGGAGGTTGGTGAGCGCATTGCGGGTCGGATTACGACGGAGTGTGTTAATACGGGGAGTGGGTGTGGGGACTATAATCGGTATGAGGTGTTGCGTGGGACGACGGAGTTGTGGGAGTTTAATGCGTTTAATGGGATGGGAACGAGTCCGTTTTTTGTGGCGGATGCTGGGGAGGTGGAGTAGGAGGATGTGGGTTGTGGGTACGTCTGGATGTCGATGTAGAGAGTGGAGAAAGCCTGTAACTCAGGAAGATGACATTTTTATGGCATCCTTCTTTTGCTCTTTCGGCATTGCTTGCTGTCCACCCTCCTCCTTCATCTCAACATCCGCCCAAACAGGCACATGATCACTCGTCCCCATCTCCTCCTCCGAATCCATAATCCCAGCCGCTCGAACCCACCCCTTCTCCCACATCCTCCTCCCCGCAATAAAATAATCCACCCTATCACAGCTACTCCCCCATTTCCTTCCTCTAGAATAATACGTATACCGTCTCTCATCCGGAAACATCTCCCTCCACACATCCACCCCATCAAACGGCTCCTTCGCCTTCCCACCGCCTCCCAGCAGCTTATCGTGGAAATCCGCTCGGTTAACTACATGTGCCTGTGGGAAGATGCGTAGTTTGGGATACCCATCTCGCTCGTCAGGCGCGACGTTCATATCGCCAGCGAGTAATACATCCCAGCCTTGCTCCTCCAACTCTCTACACTCCCTTGCTAAAAGCTTATGAAACGCGCGTTTCCGGTCATGTCTCGTTCCTTTAAACGCACCGGTCTGCGGGTCTCGATACGCGTTTTCCGTTCCGTTAACGGCGTAGATGTTGAAGACGGCGAGTTTGGCTGTGCTGGTTTTCGAGCGGAGTTCTACGACGGAAATGCGGCCTTCGGCGTCCCAGTCTACGGTGCGAAGGGCGATTTTGTAGGGGATATAGAGGTCGCGTCGGATTAGGCTGCATACGCCGTAGATTTTGCCGCTGCGTTTGGGGCCGCGGGCGTTGTGGAGGTCGGTGGGGAGGGTGAAGTGGACGTGGTATAGTGGGCGCTTATTATGGGGAGTTCCTTCTTCCTCTGGTAGGGGTGATTTTACTGCTTTTTTGACTGCGTCTTGGGTTTTTTCGTCTGTGTGGGCTATCTTGACTTCTTGGAGGAAGAGGATGGACGGCCATTGGTGTCTGTGCAGGAAACCTCTTAGGGAGGCTGCTGGTCGGGCGTTCTTTGCATCGTCCCTGAGTGCCGTTTTCGATTTGGGAATGAAGAATTCCGTGATTGGCTTTGTTAGGAACGGAGCAATGCCATCGATATTCCAAGAGAAAATGCGTAATGTATTTGAGTCGAGAGGTGGAAGGGGCGTTGGAGATGCGGGCGTGCTTGGAGGCGCCGTTTGCCCGGGAGACGTCGCTGTGTTTGTCGCGACCTTGCGTCGTTTCGAGGGAGGTGGACTGATATCTCGATTCATGGTACTGTAGTGGCGGCATGCCGTGACTCTTTGTGATATATGTGACACATGCAGTTGTAAGATGCGCGCACGACCGAGTGACGTCATCATCACTTTCTGCTAGCAATGCCCTAGACTGGTCGCAAACCCAGCCACCAAGATCCTCGTAACTTTGGTATATGTCGCATTGCTGTTTGCAGTATACAATCGCGCATGCACGCGGGCGGGGCGCGACGCGTCTTCCCACTAGAATTGATTGGGCAGTGATCAGCCACATCATTCACTACCCCACCACTACCAACACTTGACATCCACGCTACAAACCTCAGCCACAGCCACCTAGAATCCTTCTTCCAACACCACAATCGCATACCTACTCCGCTCTTCCACCTAACTTCAACATGTCCTACCGCCGCAAGAAGTCCCTCCTCATCGGCATCAACTATGTCGGCAGCAGCCACGAACTCAAGGGCTGCCACTCAGACGTAGACAACATGGCCGAATTCCTCTCCTACCGCGGCTACACAAACTCACACAAGGACCGAGTTATCCTCACCGACCGACCTGAAGTACCCTACGACTCCCCCTACTACCCCACCGGCCACAACCTCCTCGCAGCCATGGACTGGCTCGTCTCAGAACCCGGTTGCACCTTGTTCCTGCACTACTCCGGACATGGCGGCCAGATTGCAGATGTAGACGGAAACAGGACCACGGGAATGGATGCATCGATCGTGCCTGTGGATTTCGAACAGCGCGGCCAGATTTCCAGTACCATTCTACATGAACATCTTGTTACGTATATGGCGCGGGATTGCACGTTGTTTGTCATCATGGATTGTTGTCATTCTGGTAGTGCGCTCGAGCTACCGTTCGTTTACCGCTCTGATAGCGATGGCCAGATCAGTTTGATGGATAACTTAAAAGCTGGGCTTACGCTTGCTAATGAGGCGCGCGATATCATCTCTGGTGGTTTCTCGTATAGCAAAGTTGGGGAGGCGAGGGAGTTGCTTGCGGGTGCGAGTACGTTCTTCAAGGGACTCAAGCATTTTGGAGAGGAGCAGGAGGAGGAAGGACTAGAGAGTGGAGAGTTTGCGGGGCAGTATGGGAGTGAGCAGAAGATGGTGACGATGTTTAGTGGGTGTAGGGATGATCAGACAAGTGCGGATGCGCGGATTGAAGGGGAGGCGACGGGAGCTATGACGTGGGCTTTCTTGGAGATGATGAAACAAGATCAGACTCCGACTTATGCTGAGGTGGGTGCTTGACATATGTTTGGCGGATCTGAGAATTGTTGTACTGACCGGAATACAGACACTCAAGTTCATCAGGAAGACCCTGGACGAGAGCAACTACAAGCAGATCCCACAGCTGAGTTCAGGCTTGGATATTGATCTGGATGATATGCATCTGGTACTCTGATCGCAGGAAGTCGTCGTCAAAATTTGCGTTTACCCCGAAGATTGTGGATAAAGGCCATTCCTAGCAATAAGACATGTAACATTCCACTCATTTGCCATGGACGGGGGTTGTGAATTGTCTGACCTTTGTGGCAAACCTAGCAATCGACGCAGCTTGAAACATGCCCGCACCAACCCGTCTGTACAACGAGATGAAGACACAGATTGTCTAACCTCTAAGACCACACCCGCAACTTATGTCTCAATATAGCAAACCATCCTCTCTTTCAACACTCATCATCCCTATAAACGCCCCCTCAACCCACCATCCTCCTTCCCAACGCCAACCCACCGCCAACATACCAACACCACCCTTACTATACCCCACCCACCCCCCAACATGCCACCCCAACCCCCCATCGACCCCCTCCGCGCACGCATCTTCTCCGAATTAAACCTCCAACTAGCGCACCCCTCGATCCCCAAACCCCTCCTCAACGAATGCTCAAAACACCTCGCTTTCCTCGTACGGTACTACGCCAACGATCCGGACTGTAATCCGCTAAGGGTAAGTGTGCCGATTGTTGAGGTGCCTGTTGTTGTACCTCGTATAGGAGAGGGGGAGGAGGAGGAGAAGAAGGGAGAGGAGGAAGAGGGGGATAAAGAGGGGGAGGAGGAAGTAGAAATAGAAATGGGGATAAAGATCGCGGTGGTAGTTTTCGAGGAGAAGAAGAGGAAAAGCTCTGTGCAGACACGGATGGAGGGATTGCGAAAGATGAAGATGGAGAGACTGTATGGAGTGGGTAAAGTACTGGGTGAAGAGGAAACCGAAGACGACTTAACACCAACACCAACGGTGAAGACGAAGAATCGTATCGAGACTGGCAGTCCCGTTAGTAAGATCGCCGGATCTCGACATTGTCCTCCTGTGTCGGCGTCTGGTACTGGTACTTCTGTTTCGTCTACAGCTGCGAAGCCAAGGATGCGTGTACTTATCGAGACGACTGGTACGCTGGGGCATTACAAGTGCTTGGTTGCTAAGCTCTGTGGCATGGCCGAGCGTGTCATAGGTGGATTATTGGAAGGTGATGAGGACATGGTGCGTGCGTGCGAAGAGGTCAAGAAGAATAGAGGCCAGAAAGCGAATGCGGATATGGGAAAGAGACCGGTCTGGAATGTTGAGGCTTCTGGGGAGTGGTGTTGAGCTGTACGAGATGTGTCGACACGAGGCTTGAGTCGTGAGATTGATCGTTGCCTTGGTATTCATATTTCATTCTAACACGTAAGACATACAATGATAGAGAGACAACAGCACCCATTGCATCAGAATAACATACTTCAGTAAAATCCAAAAAGGTATCCCTAGCTTGAGCTAACTCACGCAAGCTATTTCCCATCACACCAGAACACCGACCCCGCTACCCGTCGTCAAGAAGTGACCCAGAAAATAGTGCGATGAAAGTACAAACGCCTCGCAAATGCAGCAAAGAACCGCCGTTTGGGTGCTCAGTCCTTAGCGACCTCTGTGCGGACCTCGCCCTTGACGTTTTCAGAATCGCGTTCTGCGTCGCCCTCTTCTTTGGCTGCGGCGACCTCTTCTTTGTTGTCGTTCTCTTCCATTTCGACGTCTGCCGTGGGGGCTGAAGTAGGTGCCATGGTTGTTGTTGCTGCCGCGGCTGGTGGGGATTCGGGTGGGGTTACGACACCAGCTGGCGATTGTGATCGCGTTGAGCCAGCAGCAGGTGCAGTCGCAGCAGGCGCCGCGTCCATGTCGATGTCGCCATCTTCGTCGGCTTCTTGCTCGCCAGCGGCGGGGGTTGTTGTGCGCGACTTGGCGACTGCAGATGCTTGCCGTGTGGACACGGCGCTTTCACCATTGGTCTCCATGCGGTCCAAGTCATCCTCTGGAGCAGCGTTGGGGTTCGGGAAGTCGGTGATGTGTCGCCTCTTCTTGGTGCCGGGCTGCTCGCGCACTCCGAGGCTGTTTTTGTAATCCTCGTCATCGCTCGCGTCGTAGAGCTCACCGTCGTGCTCTATTTGCTGGTCGCGCTGACGCTGTGTCATGCGCACATCCTTGTTCTCATCGGCATCGAGATCATCGTCTTCATCTTCAGCGTCTGAGTCCGTAGCGCGAGTTAGACCCGCAGGCACATCCGGAATATTGGTGAAGGCTTCAACTGATGGCTTTCCGGTTCTCCGGATATTGTCAATGACGGCGGATTTGATCTTGTGCAGGTAGTCGTGAGAGTTGGCGTTCTCCATGTTAGAAGGACGGACGTCCAGTTCGTAGTCGGGAGCGAAGTATTCGTAGTAGTCGTTGAAAGGCAGCTGCTTGGACATCTTGGTCGAGACGAGCTCTCCTGTTTCGTAGGCCCAAGTTCGCGCTACGTTTCTCATAGTGTAACCACCTCCTCCCAATACGATGACTGGCACGCCGAAGCTCTTGACGTACTTGACACAATTGGCGTGGCCGTCCATGCTCAGGTTGAAGCAACCAAGCCTGTCTCCGGAAAGACTGTCACCACCGCATTGTAGAACAATAGCCTCTGGGCCGTAGTATGTCATGACCGCCTCGATGACGGGCTCGAAGATGTTGCGATAGGTCTCGTCGGTGATGCCGTCGCGAAGAGGAAAGTTGACGGAATAGTTCTTGCCGCTGCCGACACCGATGTCGCGCAGTTCACCGGTACCGGGGAAGTACTCGCCGTACTTGTGGAATGAGACGGTCATGACGCGATCGGTCGTGTAGAAAGCTTCCTCGACACCATCTCCGTGGTGGACGTCGATGTCGATGTACAGCACGCGCTGCTTGTATCGGAGTAGCTCGATGATTCCCAAGACAATGTCGTTGACATAACAGAAACCACTGGCTTCGCTCTTCTTCGCGTGATGCAGTCCTCCCGCCCAGTTTACTGCGACATCGCATTTTCCTCGGTTCAAGCGCGCAGCGCCCTCCATGGTGCCGCCAGCGCTGATACCGCAGAACTCAAATAGACCGTCAAAGACTGGACAATCGTCTCCGACGTTGTATTTGCTCTGCTCACGTGTAAAGCTCTCCATGTTATCGGGCGTTACTTTGTGAAGGAACTCGATGTATTCGTCGGTGTGGAACTGCGTCATCTCGTATTTGGACGCGGGCTTAGCGCGCTGCCGGTGAGTTAGCACAGATCCATAGAGGATTGAGGTCGGAGTCACCTACGTAAATCTCCATTTTGGTGTACAGTCCGTAGTTCATGATCAAGCTGTGCGCCATGCGTATGCGGTGGGGCTTCATGGGATGTCCTGCTACATAGGCATAGTTGCCGACGTCGGAGTCGTAGAAGTACGCGACCTTCTTTGGCTGCGAGGCGACGCCATTGCTCAAAGACGAGGAGCCCGTCGTGGGTTCCATAGCGGTGGTCATATCTTTGGTGGCTGCGCACAGCTATGCGACTGGGAGGATGTGTGATGATATTATCGTGATAAATGTGATAAAGTTGGACTGGATGTTGCGGGCGACGGTTGCTACAGCATGCAAGGTGTTCGAGTATCAGCAATCAAGGAAATGTGGAGGGGCGTGGCAGAGAGTTGGCGGGAGCTTGAACAAAGACCCTCGCGCGCCATTACCATGAGAGCTGCGACAGGGCCCCCCTGTCTAGTGCCGGTTCCGGAACAACCGAGTCGCCGCATGCAGTCGCGCAGTTACGTGAGAGAGCTCCGAGCATCAACAGCTTCATCATCGCCGCCGCCTTGCCCAACAACACTTCGTCCACACCCGAATACCCTCACCTTGTCGCCATATACCCCGCCTGCAGTAATCAAAGAACCATCGCCAGTACTCCACCATGGACCGGTTAACTAGGATGCTCGCCGCCGCCCAAGGTGGCATGGGCGGTATGGGAGGGCCCCAGGGCGACACCAACCTGATCGATAACTCCGAAACTGTCTACATTTCCTCCCTGGCGCTCCTCAAGATGCTGCGGCACGGTCGCGCGGGTGTACCCATGGAAGTCATGGGCCTGATGCTGGGCGAGTTCGTGGATGACTACACAGTACGAGTGGTGGATGTCTTTGCCATGCCGCAGTCAGGAACCGGTGTGTCCGTCGAGGCCGTAGACCCCGTCTTCCAAACCAAGATGATGGACATGTTGAGGCAAACAGGAAGGTACGCAATTGCTGAGTCGGTGCTCGAAGCCGCCACCGCTCCCAACCCGCACATCAGTCGCTGACAAACACAGGCAAGAGACCGTCGTCGGCTGGTACCACTCACATCCTGGTTTCGGCTGCTGGCTGTCCTCGGTCGATATCAACACACAGCAGTCGTTCGAGCAGCTCACACCCCGCGCCGTCGCCGTCGTCGTCGACCCCATCCAGTCGGTCAAGGGCAAAGTCGTCATCGATGCCTTCCGCCTCATCAACCCGCAAGCCCTCATGATGGGCCATGAGCCCCGCCAGACAACCTCCAACGTCGGTCACCTCAACAAGCCATCGATTCAGGCGCTTATCCACGGCCTCAACCGCCACTACTACTCCATCGGCATCAACTACCGCAAGACTGCGCTGGAGGAGAACATGCTGATGAACCTGCACAAGCACGTATGGACAGAGGCGCTGCTGATGGACGACTTCAAGGGCGAGGGCGAGCGGAATACCGACAGGCTGCAGAAGCTCGTCACACTGGCAGACGGCTACGAGAAGCGAGTGAAGGAGGAGACGGAGTTGACCAAGGACCAACTAAAGACGCGATACGTCGGAAAGGTCGACCCCAAGAAGCGTACGTTGAAATCCATGTCTTGCTTGATAGGTTTACTAACAGAATATCACAGACATCTCAGACGTCGGCCAGCAGCTCATCGAAGACAACATCGTCTCCGTCTCACGGCAGATGATCGACAAGGAAGCCTCGGTACCAAAGTCGAACTCGCGGCAAAACGGCCAGTCAAGCGGCGGCGACGACATGGAGATGGAGGAGTAGGATCGGCATACCCGTAGGCTGGCTTGGAGGTGGCATGTACACTGGCATGAGCTGCAGAATAATGCACTCAAAAGAGGCATATACGATACAGTAATGCATAGACTGCGTATGAGAACAACGACATTACACAAACATGATTCCACCCATAATGACGGTTACTTTGCCCGGTTTGAGAACAGCTACACAAATGGATATACCTCTTCTAGGCCTGAGTTTAGTCATCCTGGACAACAACAGAGGCGAACTAGTCGCTCACTCTTGCATTGCGGGTAGTCCAGGACCTCAGTCCTCCAACACAGTATTGAGACGTAGAACCTTGTATTAGGTTCGCAGTGGCATGGAAAACATCTACGCTCAAGTTACATCATATACACTTGAACAGGGGAATATGCTTGACGTCTTTCTCCCAGATTCTTCAAACACACGCAAGGTGTACGTCATGTTTCTGGGTGCAGCGAAGCAGCGGATTATTCTGCGGCGTCAGATGTCGTTCATCTATGATTTCAGCTTTCGATCATGATGGAAGCTGCCGACACGGTAGAAGTCCAGGTGCTGGTTTCCATCGTCGGCGTTTCGGGGAAAGGTTCAAAAGATTCGGAACGTTGGTGTTTGTGGGTGAGGCGAGTAGTGCAAATGAGGCGTGGGGTCTGATGGTTAGGTAGCTTGACATGTCTCCATATTCGCAGGGTCGTGATGTAGATTTCAGACCTCCATCCATCATCCATCACAACACCTGATTTAACACTGATTTGAATTCAAACGTATGTCATTTTGATACATCTCTATTTTTTTCGTAGCCAAAAGCAAAAGCAAAACACCAGCCCACGCTGATCCATATCCCATTGCCCGTAAAATTCATTTCTCGTACGCCCCTTCTTCGAAGATCCGCGACACGACGAATTGCGTCATGTACTTTGTCGCAACAAAACCCTTGGGGGTTACTTTCGTCTTTTTGCTCATCCCCATCCACCGTAGCGATCTTTGGTATATAAAACAACAAAATTTGCCGCCCACTTGAGCCCGCCACCCATCAGCCCTAGGTTTCGTCGCCCGTAACACGTATTTTGTGAGAAATGGTAGTGTCGATCCCAGTATTACATTTTTTTGTTTCAAGCAACTCCGGTAAGGAAAGGTGAAGGGTAGATTGGTTCCATGGGAAAACACATAGCGGAATGGGTTTGGGGTTTGCAAAAAAGTTCGGGTCCATTACTGTGAAGTCTTGAAAGGGAGGTAGGGTAAGGTGGCTAGTCCAGATCCCAGGGGGGTAATAGCACAACATCTGCACCCATAAAAGAGTGCGTTTCTAATAACCGTCTTCCAGCCATATAAGTGTGCATCCGGGGTGGTGTCCTTTATTCCTGTCCTGTTCCTATCATGGTGATTTTGAAGCATGCTGTCTATCCAGCGAGCTCCACTCAGAAGTACGATGACCTGCCAGACTAAGGATGGCCATGCGGTTTCCCTGACGTGTCTTCTGTATTCGATCCGTTCTGGCCAGTAGTAGAGCGAATCTTCTTTGCGTTCTCGTCGTCGGAACTGGAGTGGCTGCTGCTTCCGTCCTCGAAGCCAATGGTTCCATCCTTGGATTCGCGGCGTAGCCTATCAGCCTTGTCCTTGAGGTAGGCGGCCTGTTCGGCGGCCCTCTGGGCCCGGATCTGCTTCTTCCACATGGCGGCGTAGTGGCCGTTACGGTCGAGCAGCTCCTCGTGGGTGCCTCGTTCCTGAACCTTGCCCTTGTGCAAGACGAGGATCTGGTCAGCGTGGGTGATGGTACTAAGACGATGAGCGATGATGAGCATAGTGCGGCCCTTGGCCAATGTCGTAAACGCCTCCTGGATGTGCTGCTCCGTCTCCGTGTCAAGAGCGGCAGTGGCTTCGTCAAGCATGATGATACGCGGATTCTTCAGAATCGTGCGGGCAATGGCCACGCGCTGTTTCTCGCCTCCAGAAAGTCGCAGGCCGCGGTCACCAACCTTGGTCTCATACTTGTCCGGAAATGTCATGATCTTGTCATGGATACTGGCAGCTCTGCATGCCTCGTGTACCTGTTCGTCGGTTGCCTCTGGGTTTGCATACTTGAGATTGTACATGAGTGTCTCATTGAAGAGCACAGTGTCTTGGGGTACGACACCAATGTGGCTGCGCACCGAGTCGATGGTGAGATCTTCCACATCGTGACCATCGACCTGGATGCTACCAGACATGGTGTTGTAGAATCGGTAGAGCAGACGGAAGACGGTCGATTTACCTCCACCGGATTCACCAACAAACGCAGTGGTCGTGCCTGGCTCGCAGTAAAAGTCGAGACCGGTAAGCGCTGGCTTGCGCTGGTCGTAGGCAAAGTGTACATCCTGGAAGCGAAGATTACCCTCACAAGAAGCAAGAGGTTTGGCATCCTCCTTGTCGACTACGGTGGGTTGCTCTTTGAACAGCTCAAGCATTCGCTCCGAGTTGATCATGGCAGACTGGATCATCCTGTAAAAGGTGCCGAAGAAGTTGAGAGGACTTTGCAGTTGGCTCATATACGTGAGAAGCGTCACAAATTTGCCGACGTCGAGGACTCCAACTGCGATCTGGTATGCTGCGATGAAGCATGTAACGAGGAGTCCAATCATAAAGACCATGTTCTGTGTGATGTTCATGATGTTCAGCGATATCATGACCTTGTACTCAGCGTTCTGATACTTCTTAACAGCTTCACGGTAGCGGTTGAACTCGTACGCTTCGGCGTTGAAATACTTGACCGTCTCGTATGACACCATGGAGTCGTTCTTGACTGCATCTTCTTCTCTGTCGGCGTTGACCATTTCGCGGCGAATCTCAGCGCGCCACTGCGCCATGCGGATAGTCAGATAGATGTACCAAAATGTAACGATGGCGATGACGAGCGCGTAGTAAGCATCGAACCTGATGAGGAAATAGGCGATGGCTACGCCTAGATCGATGAGCATGGGAACAACCGAAAAGGTCACCTGCTCGAGGAACGTGTTGATGGAGCTGCCCTTTCCTAGAGCGGACAGGACCTCTCCCGTCTTCTTGCCGAGGTGGAAGTCGAGACTAAGGCTGTGCACGTGCTCAAATGCCGCAACGGACAGCTCGCGATACGAGTATTGGGAAACGGGGATCCACAGGGCAGATCGCGCCGCACCCAGCAATCCGTTGCTGCCCTGCAGAAAACGGAAGCCGATGTACAACATAATGGCGGTCCACGGATTTCCGCGCTCGCGGTCGTTGAGGCGCTTCACGATTTCACCCGTGAGGTCCGGGACCAAAACGTTAACGACGCGTTGGCCTAGGACGAGCATGAAACATGCGATGACGACCAGCTGCAGCTTGCGATCTTTCGAAGGCCAGAGGTAGGGGAAGAAGACGTGATAGCCTTTGATGTATTCCCACCAGCTGCGCGCGGGTGCGCCAGTGGGCCTGCTCCAGGCGGGCGGTGCACCTTCGGTGTGCTGGTGTTTGCCACCGGTCGGGTGTACTGAGCCATATGAGCCGTTCGCGTGACCGTTTTCCGCATGACCGTTTTGTTCGGCGCTACCGAGCAAAGAGGTATTTTCGGATGGACTGCCCGATTCTTGGCGAGATTTGCGCTGTGGGACTATGACGAATAGTACGTAGAAGGCGATGAGTGCGAGGAGCAGCACGATGCGGAGCAGGTCCATGGCCACCTCTGCGGCTTCCCACTCGGTCATTCCAAATCGCAATCGCTTGGCGGGAGTGCCTACGGTGGGCTCCTTGTGCGGATGCGTGTAAATGGAGAAGGAAAGGGCTACCAGTGCTATTTCTAGCACGGTTGCCAGACTCCATGTTGCCAGATGCGCCTCGGTGGGAGATGGCTTCGAGTCGAGGAGGGAGATGACGAAGAGACAGTAGACGAAGAAGGCGCCAACGAGGTAGATCTGGGAAAGTTAGCCATGGATGGAATCTGAAGTTTGTTGCTGTTACATACCACTGCGGCTTTGCCCACCCACCAGTGCTGCTCCGCCTCGGCCAGGGCATGCGCAACGACGACGACGGAATTGCCGACAAAGGTGAATGCCGTTGCGAGCGACACCCATTCGAAGACACGCTTCTGGGTCTGGGTGACATCATCGTGGACGAGCTTCTTGACGAAGTTGCGGGTGGGATCGGTGGCCGGCAGCGGCTTTCCTCCAGGGCCGGTTGTGGTAGGTTTGGCGATATTAGTATTAGATTTAGAGGCGGCAATGCTGCGGACGGTGAAGGCAGCGAGGAAGAAGACGAGCATAACGATGGGATAGGCATATTGCAGCACGGCGATGGTGGTGCGCACAGGGCCGGCGTAGGCCCATCTCTCGCGGTCGTGGTCGTCCATGTGGTGCGGCCCAGCCATGCTGTTGCTCTCTCTCCACGGATCTGTGAGGCCCGGCAGCGAGGCTCACGGGTGGCAGAGACGGGCGGGGAGGAGATAGGAAAGGGAAGGAGGGAGTGTCGGTGGTGGAAGAGAAACGCGGTGACATGTTGCACCTGGGCACACTGAGACGGTGCCATGGGCGAGAGCTAGCTAGCACGAGTAGACTTGTGGCGCACATGCAGCAGGCATTAGCCCTGTCCGTGCGCGCCGATGATGGATTTCATCCAGACCTCGCTGTGACCCCGGCCTGCAGCAGCTCCCAGCACGGTACAGCTCCCAGGCACACGGGGCGAGTCGTGTCCTGCAGCCGCCTGCAGCTCGTCACACCAGAGTCGACTCGACCGGATTTACCACGATTTACTGGCACGACTGCACTTCGTTCAATACTGCCCGTAACGAGTACTGCCTAACGAGCATTGCCCCCCGTCTCTGGCATGAGGCGAACTTAACGCTCAGATGACTGAAAACCGTCGCACGTCAGCCGTCTCGTCGCCCAAGATCCCCCCGGCGCCGCCATTGCCACTGCCCAAGCAAAAGTCACGCTCCTACTTTGAGCGTTTTGTTGCGCAGCCCTTGACCACGGCCTATGGATCCCGCCCACCCAGCGTGCATCAACATGGCTACG